AGTGGTTAAGAGCACTAGCTGCTCTTCCAGAGGACCCAGGTTCAATTCCTAGCTCCCACATGGTGACTCACAACTGTAATTCCAAGATCTGACATCCTCACATAGATATACATGCAGGCAAAACACCAATGCACATAAAATAAATATAAGTAATTTTTTAAAAAAAGAATACCACTTAGTTCCATGGGAAACGATACTTTCAAAGTCCTGACACTGCCTTTTCCCTTCAGTCCTCCCATTTTGGCCCAGGGATCCCTCTTTGCTTTTGTGCTTCTGAAATCAAATCAAGACTATGTTGAAAGTTCCCTCTATCTCCCCTCTACCTCTGAGATTGACTGTCTTAGTGGAAGCAATCAGCAGCAGCTTCCACCCTGACCTTAATCCTTCTGTGGCTCAACTAACCCCACTTGTACCCTGGGTTGGAGCTGACCCTGCATGTTTGTGGCACTGAAGATTTCAAAGCTCTTTCACGGCAGTTTTTCTGATGTTTCAGTCCAGGATAATCAAGTAGGTGCTTTCACATGACGTTTCATGAGGCACCAAGAGCTTTCTTCCCTAGCCACTGCCTGCTTCTAGCAGAGGACTGCTGGTTGGGTGCAAAATCATGAGGCTTCTTTGCCTTGAGGAACTGAAAGTTAATTTATTTTTTTAGATAAGGGATTCTGCTGTTTGGTGAAACATCCTGCCGAAAGCGTGTATGTCTTACATGAGTCATGCCATCTCCCTAGAAGGTCCCACAGTCCATTGCTCTTTGTCTCTGAGTGCTGTATTACCCTGTACTTCCTTCTCAGTTACATGGACACAGAGCAGTATGAAGAAGCTGTGCGGGACTATGAAAAAGTGTATCAGACGGAGAAAACAAAAGGTATGAAAACAAGAGGGTCATCAGACTGAGGGAGCTGTGGTCTTCTGGGTCCTAAATGTAAAATTGGGAGTATTTGATGTAGCTCTTAGGATGGACCTGGAGCTTATTTGATCACTAGCCTGAAAGCAATCAGTAGTTCCTGGGTGGGGACTTAGGCACCTGTATTCTGGTTCTAGCTCCTGCCTGTCATTTTCACTTCCTCTGTCTTCAGAAGAAAACACCAAAAAAGCCCCTTTTGTGGTTACCAAGGCTTCTCTACCCTCTGGGCAGCTGGGCTGGGACCCAGCAAGGGAAGCAATTGGATCTGTCTGTTGATGCCACCTGTCTCACTCCAGAACACAAACAGCTCCTCAAGAACGCACAGCTGGAACTGAAGAAGAGCAAGAGGAAAGATTACTACAAGATCCTGGGAGTTGACAAGAATGCCTCTGAGGATGAGATCAAGAAAGCTTACCGGAAGCGGGCCTTGATGCACCATCCAGGTGAGCTCTGCAGACAGGAGCAACAGGAAGAACTCACAGGGCAGATACAGTGGGTACCTAGGAGACGTGCTTTTCAGTGGGAAGAAGGGGTTGCTGAGCTCTCTGTCCTACACATTGTGGGAGGTGCCACATTCCAAACTTGGACATAAACAGACTTTGTTTTTCTGTGACCCTGGTTTCACTGAATCCTCTAGATCGGCACAGTGGGGCCAGTGCCGAGGTCCAGAAGGAGGAGGAGAAGAAGTTCAAGGAAGTGGGCGAGGCCTTTACCATCCTCTCTGACCCCAAGAAAAAGACTCGTTATGACAGTGGGCAGGACCTGGATGAGGAGGGCATGAATATGGGCGGTGAGTTTGTTTGGGCACCTGGAATGAAGAGGGTCCCTGCAAAACAGGTTTTTTTTTTTTT